TTCTAAGTAACAGTTCTGTGGCCCTCAGTAACAATTCTGTGTCTGTGAGTAACAATTCTGTGTCCCTGCGAGTAACAATTCTGTGGCCCTAAGTAACAGTTCTCTGTGGCCCTCAGTAACAATTCTGTGTCTGTGCGAGTAACAATTCTGTGTCCTGCGAGTAAACAATTCTGTGGCCCTAAGTAACAGTTCTGTGGCCTCAGTAACAATTCTGTGGTGCCCTGAGTAACAATTCTGTGTCTGTGCCTGTCAGTAACAATTCTGTGGCCCTAAGTAACATTCTGTGGCCCTCAGTAACAATTCTGTGTCCCTGTGAGTAACAATTCTGTGTCCCTGCGAGTAACAATTCTGTGGCCCTGCAGTAACAGTTCTGTGGCCCTCAGTAACAGTTCTGTGTGCGAGTAACAATTCTGTGTCTGTGCGAGTAACAATTCTGTGGCCCTAAGTAAACAGTTCTGTGGCCCTCAGTAACAGTTCTGTGGCCCTGCGAGTAACAATTCTGTGTCTGTGCGAGTAACAATTCTGTGGCCCTAAGTAACAATTCTGTGGCCCTCAGTAACAGTTCTGTGTGCCCCTGAGTAACAATTCTGTGTCTGTGCGAGTAACAATTCTGTGGCCCTGAGTAAACAATTCTGTGGCCCTCAGTAACAGTTCTGTGGCCCTGAGTAACAATTCTGTGTCTGTGCGAGTAACAATTCTGTGTGCCCTAAGTAACAATTCTGTGGCCCTAAGTAACAGTTTCTGTGGCCCAGTAACAGTTCTGTGTCTGTGCCTGAGTAACAATTCTGTGTCTGTGCGAGTAACAATTCTGTGGCCCTAAGTAACAGTTCTGTGGCCCTCAGTAACAATTCTGTGGCTGTGCGAGTAACAATTCTGTAAACAATTCTGTGTCTGTGCCTGAGTAACAATTCTGTGGCCCTAAGTAACAATTCTGTGGCCCTCAGTAACAGTTCTGTGGCCCTGAGTAACAATTCTGTGTCTGTGCGAGTAACAATTCTGTGTAAGTAACAGTTCTGTGGCCCTCAGTAACAATTCTGTGGCCCTGCGAGTAACAATTCTGTGTCCCTGTGTAACAATTCTGTGGCCCTCAGTAACAATTCTGTGGCCCTGAGTAACAATTCTGTGGCCCTCAGTAACAATTCTGTGTCCCTGTAACAATTCTGTGTAACAATTCTGTGTCTGTGTAACAATTCTGTGTCTGTGCGTAGTAACAATTCTGTGGCCCTAAGTAACAGTTCTGTGGCCCTCAGTAACAGTTCTGTGGTGCCTGAGTAACAATTCTGTGTCTGTGCGAGTAACAATTCTGTGGCCCTAAGTAACAGTTCTGTGGCCCTCAGTAACAGTTCTGTGTGTCTGTGCGAGTAACAATTCTGTGTCTGTGCGAGTAACAATTCTGTGGCCCTAAGTAACAGTTTCTGTGGCCCTCAGTAACAGTTCTGTGGCCCTGAGTAACAATTCTGTGTCTGTGCGAGTAACAATTCTGTGGCCCTAAGTAACAGTTCTGTGGCCCTCAGTAACAGTTCTGTGTCTGCCCTCAGTAACAATTCTGTGTCTGTGCGAGTAACAATTCTGTGTCCCTAAGTAACAATTTTCTGTGGCCCTCAAGTAACAATTCTGTGTCTGGCCTCTGTGTAACAATTCTGTGTCTGTGCGAGTAACAATTCTGTGGCCCTAAGTAACAGTTCTGTGGCCCTAGTAACAATTCTGTGGCTGTGCGAGTAACAATTCTGTGTCTGTGCCCTGAGTAACAATTCTGTGGCCCTAAGTAACAATTCTGTGGCCCTAAGTAACAATTCTGTGGCACCTCAGTAACAATTCTCTGGCCTCCCTGAGTAACAATTCTGTGGTCTGTCCCTAATAACGTTTCTGTGGCCCTAAGTAACAATTCTCTGGCACTCAGTAACAATTCTGTCTGTCCCTGAGTATGAATTCTGTGGCCCTAACTAGCGTTTCTTTGTCCCTAAGTAACGATTCTGTGGCCCTCATTAACAATTCTGTGTCCCTGAGTAATGAGTAATGGTTCTCTGTCCCTAAGTAACTTTTCTCTGTCCCCAAGTATCGTTTCTGTGGCCCTAACTCTGTCCCTGTCCCTAGTACAGAGCGGTCTGCCTCTGTTCAATGACTGCAGGCAAATGAAGAATTCCAAAATGGCCGCTATTTATAGCTCGACCATTACACAGTGCTGGCTGGCTGGCTGCTGATTGGCTGATGCGATCACATGTCGTTGAGGAATGCATTATGGGTCAGCGCGCCTTGTCTGCGCGCCTTCCCAGACATCCCCGCTCCGTCGCCGCACATGTCAGCCGCCATTTTCTGAAAAATTTCGATTCGCCGTCCGAATTAGGCTATTTTTCGGATTCGGCACGAATCGAAATTTTTCCGATATTCGACTCGAATAGCTTCTTCTTCATTGGGCACAGATTTGAGTCCATCGTCTACATAGAAATTCCTTTTGACGAACTGTCTTGCATCAGATCCATATGCTTTCTCACCCTCTTGAGCTGTTTTCCTCAGTCCATAAATTGCTACTGCAGGAGAAAGACTGTTACCAAAAACATGTACCTTCATTTGGTAGCCTATGACTTCATCATTGACATCATTATTGCAGTACCATCGGAACCTAAGGAAGTTTCTGTAGTCTTCACGGACAATGAAACAGTGGAACATCTGCTGAATGTCAGCCATAACAGCAATTGGCTATTGTCTGAAGCGAAGTAAAAAACTCCTATAAGATTGTTGTTCAGATTAGGCCCAGTGAGAAGATTGTCATTGAGGGAGATGCCTTCATGATGAGCACTTGAGTCAAAGACCACCCTAATCTGATCAGGTTTGTGTGAGGATGGTAGACACCAAAACATGGTAGGTACCAACATTCTTCTCCTTCCGTAAGAGGAGGTGCAGGCTCAGCATGATCTCCCCCAAACACCTTCTGCATAAAGTCTACAAAGTGCTTTTTCATCTCAGGCTTCTGGTTCAAACTACGATTTAAAGAAACAAACCGTGATTCTGCGTGTACCCTGTTGTTTGGTAGTCTCTTTTTTGGGGTATGAAATGGTAGAGGTGCTACCCAACTGTTGGAATCATCTTGGTAGAACTCTTTACTCATGGTTTTCAAGAATTCTTTGTCTTCTATGATAGCTGCCAACTCATTGTCTTTAGTGGTTACCTCGAACATTGTGTTGCCGATGTTGTCATCCCAGAGATTAAAAGCTTTCTTATTGTCTTGTATGATGTGCCATTGTGCACCTTTTTCAAACAGTCTTTCTTTCATGATATATTTATGTGGTAGTTGTGCAGAACACTTTGTTCCTCCATTTGACAGGACATGTGTTTTAAAGGAAGAGACTCAGTAGGACCTCTTGTCCTTGTCTAGGCAGGCATTGCCTATGATGACCCATCCTAGATCCAGGCGCTGAGCATATGGTGCATTGTGTGGACTGTTGATTTGATGATGAACTTTGTGCACCCTTAGGATGTCTCAACTGAGTAACAGCAGGATATCGGCACTTTCATCGAGGGCTGGTATTCGGTTGGCTATGAGTTCTTGCAAGAGATCTGTTACTCTAATGATCCAGAATAGTATACCCCAAAGGCCTTTTCAGGTTTACCTTTGGGGTATACACGTACCAAGCATATCTTTGCACAGGATTTGAGTGTTGTACCGCTTTAACAGAGCAATATATTTAACACACAGTCTTTGATAATTCTCATAAGCAACATTCAATTGCTGGATAGCACCCTCTAGTTGTATTGGCTCATGAGATTGTTGGGGGAGGGCAGACATGCGTTTAACAGTATTAGACCACAAGTCATTAATATTAGACAGCAATTCTTCCTTGTCAGCACTAAGATTCTTTTGCACCTTCCAGGTTGGTTTTGTTAAGCGTTTTTATCTTTTATCTAACTCAGGGTTTAGGTCCTGTTCTGGATGAAGCTCTGTTTGTTTGTGTATTAGTTTCCCCAGACTGTGTATTAATTTTCCTGAAACATCATGTTAGCAAGGAGAGGGGTTGATATAAAGTTTACAGAGAAATGTATCAATGTTTCTGTGGATGAGCTCAGGTTTCCTAGGCAATGGTTGCAGAACAGTTTTTCTTTCACGTTCTAAGATTTCACAGACAACCCATGTGCTAATGTATACAGATGCAGGGTATAAACTTGCAGTTGTAAGACATTCACATTAATAATTTGTCCTGACACTGATGAGTGTTATGCTGAGATATACTTGCAGACATGTACAGACTTGTGTAGAGATGGCTGCAGTCTGTAGCTGCTATTCCAGTGTTCATATAACATCTCACTGTGTATCCAAAGCTAGCAAGGATCCTATGAAGACATTTCACTGATCTTTTGACTGTTCTGTCTCTCCAATCTAAGCATTGAAAGTGTGATCTCTGTAACTTACAGTTGTGATGAGATAGCGATAACTCCAATCTTAGTTGAATAACACAGGCAGTGACTCAATCAGATGACACCTTGTAGATCTTGTGAAGTTTATTCTATAAACTGAGAGAATCTTACAACAATGAACATCGGATAGGTCAAAAGATCATAACGTGATCTGCTTCATGACATGAGGCTTAAAGCTGAAATGCCTTACTGGGAAAAGGGGTGGGGCTATCTATACAGCATGAACTAAACCAGAGGAAAGGGAGGAGCAGAGACAAAATACAAAGAACACTTAAAGGCATATGACAGTCATGTGAAACATAACCGTTTTGAAGAAAAAAACACATTTTTTACTTTTTGCTATAAAACATGTCCAATAAAAAAAAAAAAAAAATTTAAAATCAAATTTTGTCATAAATTTAGGCCAAAATGTATTCTGCTAAAAATAAAAAATCTCAATACGTGTAAATTAATTGGTTTATGTGAAAGCTATAGCGTCTACAAATGGCGGTGTAGATACTGGGAATTATTTTTTTTAATACTAGTAATGGCGGAGATCAGCGACTTTATAGCGGGACTGCGGCGGGCATTCTGACACTGGTGGGAACTGACTACCTGCCATTGATATCCCCAGTGACACCAATACAATGATCAGTGCTAATAAAAAGCACTGACACTGTACTAATGGCATTGGACAGGAAGGGGTTAATATCTGGGTTGATCAAAGGGTTATCTGTGTGCTGTTTTACTAGGAAAAGAGATACAAAGCAGCATGTCCTTGCTGGCAGGAGAGAGACCTCTGTTTTACATACAGCTCGCTCACCTGTCAGCTTTGTCCGACGATCACTGAGTGATCGACATCCCCAGTCGCCAATAGTGGAGCGCGTGTAGGTGCGCCCCCTATCCGAAAATGTAAAGTGTGGTGTGTGTGTGTGTGTAGCCCTGCCACCCTGTAGCAGTACTTCTGATATAGGGTGGAGGGCGAGCGGTTAATATTCTAATCAATAAATGCAGTTTTGTACAACACTCACGTATGGTTCACCACATTGGTCCCTTAATGTAACCTCCTTCTGGTGGACATCTAGTTCACAAAAACCTCTCTTTGTTGAGAAGTAGTGTTTGGTTTCTGGGACCACAGCTATGTTTAGTGAGCGGATACCTGAACACTAGTAGCCTCCTATTCTACCTATTCTAATCCAGTAATATAAATGCTTCACCTGCAATGATAAATGTACAGTCAGTATATATAGAAGTGTTGGGTTCTCCAGACATGCAGGACTGAGATAATATCTGTTGTGTTTTTCTTTTATAGGACGGAATCCAGCGATAGATATTGCTATGCTGCAGTTGTTGTATGCACAATCGCATGTTTCACATACTTTTTGATGATCGGTTTTAATCACAGTAAGTTATTGCTCTTTTATCTGGAAGTAAATAAATGCTGCAAGGTGTGTATATGTCATTAGAACTGTTATATAACCTCAGATTAGCGTGAGGAACAAAAACATTCATTTAGTTTCAAATCAGTTCATTAACCCCCTCGCCCTCCTGAGGATTTACCCCCCTTCCTGAAGAGGTCATTTTTTGTTGTTGGGCACTGCGCTATTTCAACTGGTAATTGCGCAGTCATGCAATGTTGCACCCAAACAAAATTTTATGTCCTTTTTTTCACACAAATAGAGCTTTCTTTTGGTGGTATTTGATCACCTCTGCGGTTTTTATTTTTTTGCGCTATAAACAAAAAAAGGCCGAAATATTTTGGGAAAAAAAAAATGATATTTTTCAATTTTTTTAGGTTTAAAAAAAATCCAATAAACTCAAGTTAGTCATAAATTTAGGCTAAAATGTATTCTGCTACATGACTTTGGTTAAGAAAAAATCTCAATACATGTATATTGTTTGTGTGAAAGTTATAGTGTCTACAAATTATGGTGTATATTGGAATTTATGTAGCTTTTACTTTCTGACTATCATATTTCTTGAGGTGTTAAAGTGCCAGGACAGTACACACCCCCCCCCCAAAATCACCCCTTTTGGAAAGTAGACACCCCAAGGATTTTGGCAGAGAGGCATGTTGAGTCCATGGAACATTTTTTGAATATGACAATTTTTTTTAAACAAAGTTGTCACTTTAATGATATATTGCTCGTGCCTGACATGGGTATATGTGGAATAACACCCCAAAACACATTCTTCTACTTCTTCCGAGTATGGGGGTACCACATGTGAGAGACTTTTTGGCAACTTAGCTACATTCAGGCCCCCAAAATCCAATGACCACCACCAGGCTTTCAAAGGGCATATTTCTTCATATCACTTTCCCACTACCTATCACAGTTTCAAAGGTCCTAAAATGCAAATCAAGTACACCCCCCCCCCCCCCGCCAAATGTCCCCTTTTTGAAAAATAGACATCCCAAGGAAGTTGATAAGAGGCATGGTGAGTCTTTTACAGATATCATTTTTGTCACAGTTTCTGAAAAAGAAAAAAAAACGACAATTTTTGTTTTCTTTATTCATTTTCCAAAAACATGTCACAACAAATGAAGATCTGCAAAACACTCACCATGCCTCTTATCAAATACCTTGGAGTGTCTACTTTCCAAAAAGGGGTCATTTGGAGGGGGGGGGTTGTACTATCCTGGCATTTCAGGGCCAATATTAGAAGCTTCTGCCACACATCACCCACTCTTTTCAAAGCCTTTTCTAACACTTTTTGTTCACATGCATGAAAAAAACTTTTTTTTTCAGAACCTTCAAATATTATATATATAGATATATATTTATTATATATATTAAATATATATATACAGTGGGGATCGAAAGTTTGGGCACCTCAGCTAAAAATTTGTATTAAGGGCATAAAGAAGCCATTTGAAAGATGGAAAAATCTCCAAAAGCAATCAAATTACAGATTAGACATTCTTAGAATTTTAATATGTCAACAAAAGTTAGATTTTATTTCCATCATTTACACTTTCAAAATAACAGAAAACAAAAAAAATGGCGTCTGCAAAAGTTTGGGCACCCTGCAGATTAATATCTTGTACTGCCCCCTTTGGCAAGTATCACAGCTTGTAAACGCTTTTTGTAGCCCAGCCAAGAGTCTTTCAATTCTTGTTTGAGGTATCTTTGCCCCGATTCTTCCTTACAAAAGTCTCCAGTTCTTTGAGATTTCTGGGCTGTCTTTCACGCACTGCTCTTTTAAGATCTATCCATAGATTTTCAATTATGTTGAGGTCAGGAGATTGTGAAGGCCATGGCAAAACCCTTCAGTTTACGCCTCTTGATGTAATCCCCATGGATTTCGAGGTGTGTTTAGGATCATTATCCATTTGTAGAAGCCATCCTCTCTTTAACTTCAGCTTTTTTTCACAGATGGCATCAAGTTACCATCCAAAATTTGCTGAAATTTTATTGAATCCATTTTTCCTTCTACTTCGTGAGATGTTCCCTGTGCCACTGGCATGCACACAACCCCAAAGCATGATTGATCCAAACCCCATGCTAACAGTTGGACAGAGGTTCTTTTCATTTCAATTTTGTGCCCCTTCTCTCTCCAAAAGCGTACCTTTGCTCATTCCCGCCAAAAAACGCGTTCAATTTTAACCTCATCGGTCTACAGAACTTGTTTCCAAAATGCATCAGCTGGTCTATATGTTCATTTGCAAAGTTCAAACGATGATTTTTGTAGTGAGGACGTAGAAGAGGTTTTCTTCTGATGACTCTTCCATGAAGACCATATTTTGTACAAGTAATTACATTTTATAGTGGAATAGTGTACCACAACTCCAGTGTCTGCCAGATCTTTCTGGAGGGATCGTGCAGTCAAATGTGTGGGTTTTGAATTGTTTTTCTCACATCCTGCGAGCTGTTCTGTTTACTGATATTTTTGTTTGGTCTTTTCCAGATCTTGCTTTAACTTCCACTTTCCTGATGACTGCCATTTCTTAATTACATTCCGAACAGAGGATATTGACATCTGAAAACGCTTTGCTATCTTCTTATACCTTCTCCAGCTTTGTGAGCGTCAACTATTTTCAGTTCAGTTTTCTAGACAACTGCTTAGAAGAACCCATGGTGCTGATTGTTGGGGCAAGGTCAGATGAGTCTGGGCATTTAAAAACCTTGAGATTGACATCACCTGGTCTTCCCAGACGGATGATTGAGAACAATCCATGACACTGGCAGGTCTCAGCTAGGCAAAGGGGCAGGTCATGCTATAAATTCTGCAGGGTGCCCAAACTTTTGCAGACGCCATTTTTTTGTTTTCTGTTATTTTTGAAAGTGTAAATGATGGAAATAAAATCTAACTTTTGTTGACGTATTATAAGAATGTCTGATCTGTAATTTGATGCCTTTTGGAGATTTTTCCATCTTTCCTTGGCTTCTTTATGCACATTAATACAAAGTTTTAGATGGGGTGCCCAAACTTTCGATCCCCACTGTATATATATTTAAAAGCAGAGGCCCTAGAGAATAAAATGGTGAGTGTTGAAATTTTCTATATCACACAGTATTTGCGCAGCGATTTTTCAAACGCAAATCTTTTGGGAAAAATACACTTTTTAGAATTTTAATGCACAAAAACACAATATGTTGCCCATTTGTTTGGTAAACTATAAAAGATGTTACGCTGAGTAAATAGATACCAAACATGACATGCTTTAAAATTGCGCATGCCTGTGCAATGGCAACACAATACATACATTTTTATTATCGATAGGCGATGCTTTAACCCCCCTGGCGGTATTCCCGAGTGTAGCTCGGGGTAAAGTTTCAGCACCAGAAGCGGTAACCCCCCCGAGCTACACTCGGGAATACCCTGCAGCGTTGCTCCGGGATCTCTTCTTCACTTACCTTGTCCTGCGCTCCCGCGATGTCCCCCCTGCAGTGTCCCCGCAATGTCCTCCAGCCGATGCCGTCATCTGTCTTCTAAGTTCTGTTCCCTGCGACGTCGGGATGTACGGGGGACGGAACTGGCAGGAAATTTGAAAATTGTAAAAAGTGACATTCACTAAATACACTAAAATCACATAGTATAACATTCCTGTATCAAACCATTTCACATACATTGTGTCCCGAGTGCTTTGTCCGGCGCCCTGCCTGCATTGTTACTGTTCTTTCTGCCTGGAAACTGAGAAACGTCCATGGCGTCCAAAAGTGTCCCTTTAGGTCAGACGCGGTTTTAGACCGGCTAGAGAACAGCGATAGTAAATCAGAACCACTTGCAGAATTGAGTGATAATGATTTGTGGGGGAAATTCCTCATCAGACACTGAAAACGATTCTGTGACTGAGCTCAGCGATGGGCGAACTTGGCGCTATATTTCACATTTTTAGTGTTTTTGGTTTGATTATATTATTGAATTACATTTATTATTATTATATTATTATTTTTTATGAATATTTCTTAAATTATAATTTATGATTTGTGTTTCAAATTTTAATATACCCGGATGTTTACTAGACTCTTGTTCGGACAGATTTCAGTGAGTTATTCCTAAAAATTACAGGCCTACAATAAAAAACTACATATTTCCATGCAAAAAAATGTACCACTTTGAGCACAGAAATATGGACATAATCAGACCACTAGGGAGGCTACAAGCCTTTTACAGGTCATCAATTTATATTTACAGAGGTAGTAGTGCTAGAATTCCTGCCCTCAATCTGACGTTCACGGTGATACCTCACATGCATGGTGCAACTGCTGTTTACATACCGGCACGGGGTCAACGGTTGCGCAT